TTTTATGCTTATTTGAGTTCTTCACTGAATGAGCATTTTTTATTGGTTGTTTTAAGTTATACATAACAATAGGATTCATTTTGACATAAGTGTAAAAGCATGGAATACAATTTGCTCTAATTCAGTCCCTGATTCTTCCCCTTTCCCTCCCTTTTTCTTTCCCCTCCCCCTGTTACCTTTCTTTTTTATTCTATGGATCTTTCAGGTATTTATTATTAGTTTTTTTTTAAGTTAGTGTCTTTAGTGCCTTGTGGATATATATTCCATGACTGTGCAATTTACTGTGACATATTCATATATGTACATAGGAACATTAAAAGTAGATAAAGGAAAAAGGAAAGTCAGGTCCTATCCATTTCACTGTTCTTTTCTTATCTTGTTCCTCTTCCCTCCCCTCAACCCTCAATCCCCTTCCTGTACTCGATTGATCTTGCTTCTATTTTGATGGAATCCCCCGTCCCCTTTTCCCTTTCTCTTTTGCTCTTTTCATCCTCATTTTGGACTAGTTTTCCCATATCAGGGAATACATTTGACCTTTGACATTCTGAGTCTGACTCAGGATGATAGACTCCAGTTCCATCCATTTACTGGCAAATGCCATAATGTGATTCTTTTTTTAATGACTGAGCAATACTCCACTGTGTATATATACACCATATTTTCTTTATCCATTCTTTTGTTGAAGGGCACCTAGGTTGGTTCCATAGCTTGACTATTGTGAATTGTGCTGCTGATTGAGAATCTTTACTAAGGAATTCCATTGTTACTTGAAAGAAAGATCGACATATAAATTAAATAAGCCAAACTCAGAAAGACAAGAGTTATGTGTTTTTCTCATATGTGGAAGCTAGAGAGGAAAAAGGAAATAAAGATGGGGGATCTCATGAAAATTGAAGGGAGATCTGTACAGTAGAGAAAAGGAACCAGGGGAAGGAGGAGAGGAGGAGAAGGAGAAATACTGGGGGCCAATACTAACCAAATTTCACTTTTATGTTATCTTTATTTATGAATATGTAACAACAAATTTCACTATTATGTATTATTATAATATACTAATGAAAATGTGGAAAAATGATTTCAGATTTGGGTATTTTGCAGATACTTTTTACAAAATGGGTAAAATGAAATTGCCAATCATTTAAAATAATTGACAGTATTTGTTGCCATGAAATCTTCTGAGTATTTAAAAAATTCGAATTTCAAAAAAATTTGTCACTACAAGCTTATCAAGTTTCTGTTATTTACTTCTAAATACTTTTCTGGTGAGATTGTTGGTGGTATTAACAAATACTTTTTTGACATTTTGTAATGCAATTTGTTAACACATGGAAGATCTGTATAACTCAGTGAGTCAATAGATTTCAAATCAACAATGAACAATATTACAAAATTACACATAGGTACATGATCCACTGAAAGTGAATGAATATACCAAGGGATTTTAGTGTAACAAGAGTATGAATAGATCACTGACATGGTTTTAATGTCCCTTACATACTAATGACCCAACATTTGTGCAGTTTCTAATAGGATGTAAAGGATCCTCAAAGGGCCTTCTCTTTCAGCTCTATTTTTCTCTGTTTTGTTTATGTGTTAGTAAAGATTAACTCAGGCTTCAGTTCTTGTCAAATTCTTTGACTCAACAGAATGATCAACACTTTTGCAGGTACACAGAAGCCAAAGGACATAGCTAGCTTCTCAAGTGAGTATCTCAGAGGTCATTCATAACATGAAGCATGATATTCAGATTATATCACACTTCCACAGTTGTGCATAGGAATGTGTACAAATCCAAGGGTCACATACACTGTTTCTTTTCTTCTATTCAAAGAAGCATAGCAGAATATAAGTTGGCAGGGTTGGGGAGAACAAACTGGTATCCACTTTAAAGCAAGTAAAATATAAGTAATTATACCTATTTGCAAAAAAAAAAAAAAAAAAACCCAAACTTTCGTCAACCTGCAACTGAGAACTATTTTAATACATTGGATTTTTTAAGACGTAAAAGGAGCTTTCTCACCATGCTTGAATCCCTGCACTTGGAACACTTGCATGGCACTAGGTAGTCACCTGAAATGTTTGCTGATTTGACTTGAACATTGTTTTCTAATAATGAATATTAACAATTTGTTCTCCAATGACTTATGCTGTTACATAAACTTTGTATAATTGTTTCAAATGTAGGAAAAATATATGTTGAACCACAATCATGTAGTTTCTCAGACTATTCTACAAGATATGTTAAACAAGGATAGTGTATGTAGCTGAGCTAAAATATTAGAATGACCTAGGATTTTAGGTCTTGGGAGTCACTCTTACAGCAGAGAGTATTGTGTATAGATGAGAAAATGAGCAGCATTTTGAATGGATGAAGGCTGCCTTGTGAAAATTTTACTTTGTGGCATATTACTACCATATAAATGTGTACATCTACATATTTAAATGTGCATGCAAATTCATTTTTTCTCATATGAGTATCATTCCAGATGCACAGGAGACAATTTAATTAATTGCACTCAAGAATATTAGGACTTAGATCTCTCATATTACCCTGGATGAGAAAGGTTGAAAAGACATCCCTGTCCTGCTGCATTAGTTTTCCTAATCCTGTTTCATTTATAGCCAGGGCATTTTATGACCCTTCAATTGTGTGCGCATGCTTGCATGTGCGTACACACACACACACACACACACACACATACCCCTTTGCCCCATGGAAACTATACTTCATAACAGTATGGGTTTTGCCTATTTTGCCTGTTTTAGTCACTGCCTAGGACCTAAAGCCTTAAAAATTCTTGACAAGAAGTAAGAACTTAATAACTATTTTCTTAACAAATTATAAAAAGAAGGAATTTATATATTCCCTACGAGTAATAGAGTTGTGACTGTTAGAATATATGTGTAAAACAACTGTTTTAAGATATAATTGATATATAAACATTATTATAAACATTATATATATTTAAAGTGTACCTTGTACATTTTGATATGTATGTACATTGTGAAATGATCATCATAATAAAGCTAATCAACATGTCCATGACTTCTACATAGTTACCACTGCAAGTATATGTAAGTGTATATAGTCAGAAGATTACAGATTTATTCTCCTGGTAAATTATAAGCTTGCAATACAGTATCCATTATCATAAACATGCTGAAAGACAGATCTTGAGATCTTTAGTAACTTCCCTTTAATTTGGTAACTTTTTTTTATCATTGGTCTTTTTAAAATTAATATATTACAATGAAATGCATTACAATTTGTATTACACATATAGAGCACAATTTTTCATATCTCTGGTTGTATACAAAGTATATTCACACCAATTCCTGTCTTCATACATGTACTTTGGATAATAATGACAATCACATTCCACCATCATTTATAACCCCATACTGGCTCCCTTCCCCTCGCACCCCTCTTCCCTATCTAGAGTTCATCTATTCCTCCCATGCTCCCTCTCCCTATCCCACAATGAATCAGCCTCCTTATATCAGAGAAAACATTTGGCATTTGTTTTTTTTTGGGATTGTCTAGCTTCACTTAGCATTATCTTTTATTTTAAATTCTGAATTAAAATGTTACTTAGGAGATTAGACTTGGGACTTAGAAAGTTTAGTTTGTGTGACAAAAATTATTAAGGTTTCAATATAATTTTATTTGAATAACAATCTTAGATCGTATTTTTGGCATTTTGCTTATTATATTTTATTTCATGTTTTTGCTATCTTTTCTAGCCAGTGGGGTTTTACAATTAAGGTACTGTATTTCTTTTCTCTTTTAATAAATTTGCTAGAGCACATATTTGATACTTAATATATTTATCTAATGAATAAATGAATGAATAAATAAAATATACCTAAGCATACAGAGTTGAGCATGATTCTGATTTTTTTCTATTGCTCTTTAACCTGAAAATTATAAAGTTTATTTAGTCAAGAGCCCTCTTAGTTATCTACACAGTGTAAGGGCAACTAGATTTACAGTCTGAGTCTCTGACCTATGGTCCTAACATACTCTTAACTTTCAATTTTGTATTTTTTCTAAGTCACTCTAGGTCCTAATTTCTACATGGGACTCCCCATGTTATTAATTCCTTCAGAAAACATAGGAATGAAAACACAGGTATTGTTTTTAAACAGCTTAAACACACTATAAATTATAATAAGCTTTGCTACCAATTTAAATAATTAAAATTTAAATTACTTGAACCTTATTTAAAAAATAAACCATCTATGTAATAATGACTATAATTTCCCTTTCTGGTCAGCAAGCTAATGAGTATGTATGGCTCATAATAAGCACTGAGTGAAGTGTAGCTACCATTGTTAACTGTTTCATAGCCTGCCCCTTCATGCTTGAAACCCAATTTCTCCTCAGTCACTATTACCAGAGAAGGATTCTGCTTTTATCATGTGTCAGGTGTTCACAATTTCCTTTTCATCTCAAAGGAACAAAATGCTTTTCTTTCAAATATTATAAAACCTTGTGTATCCCCTTCAATTAAATTTCAGAAATTTCCTCTGTCATCTTAAATACCCTTTCTCACACCTTAGGACTCTACCTGGGGCCCAGAATCCCTTTCTTATCACTCCATTTTGTTTCCATTCTTTCTCCTACAAAGTTATCTTCAACTCTTTCTAGTCATAGTGAGGGGGTTTAATATTTTTATTATTTATGGAAAGAGTAGCCAATTCAAGGGACAAAGACAGTCATCTGGCAGTGGTAAGCAACACAAAAATTGACCAATTATTTTAATTTTCAGCTTCTTGTTCTGACACTTGAATAGACACAGATTCTAACAAACATCGTAATCATGGAGAGAAGAAGATCAAGTGCCCCAGGAGAAAGGCACAATACTCTCAGCACTTGCAACTGTCCCATATTCTACAAGGAGCTCAAGAGCTTACAGTATTATGGTATTCAAAGATTTCACATTCTGAGAACTCAAAGAACCCCAAAACAAATAATATGAAGTAAATTGCCTACTCACGAGGATATAACTGGAAGAATCTCTCCGATTCTGTTATCTGGGTGGTATTGGGTTGGTATATCATACCATGATCCGTCTCATACTCTGCAAATAATCCAAATAAAACAATCATAGCCACCTCCAGGCCTAAGGCCATGAGAGGAAAACTGAACCTCATGTTTGTGGCAAAGGACAGAGACACACTGAGGCTTTCATAGACTGCAAGAGGTTGATAAGAAAAGAGGGCTGAGCTCTGTGTGAAATTAGGCTGCATGTTCAAGGCACCCTGATGACATCACAAGAAAGAAAAAGGGCAATGCTGATTAAAATGCCCCGTGCATTAGAAAATTATGCTCTGTAATCTAATTATTATTTTGAATGTTGGTTTGAAGAACATACATTATAGATTGGAAGAAGTCAGGACTATTCTATGTTAATGTAGATTGGGACACATCAAAAGGTCTACTGTTATGTACTTATGTGAATATATTACCTTGAATTTCACCTTATGTATAGCTATAAAGCACCACCTTAAAAAACTATAAATAAATAAAAGGAGATTCAGTAAGTAAAGGAAGGTGAACAGGGGGAGGGAGTAAGAGAGGGAAAGAGAACTAAAATGGAGCAAATTACATTTCATGCATATTTAATCATGTCAAAATTAACTTGAATATTGTGTATAACTATATGGCACTAATAAAAATGGTCTATTGCACAAATGCCTAGAATTCTATTTAACCTAATGCAATAGAACTTTCCTAAGTGCTTATAACATACCAGACACTACACATGGATGTATAAGAGACTCAAATTTAAGCAAAATATAGAACAGAACCATGAAGAAGAAATTTGAAATTAGGAAGGCAGAAATATAAGGAAATGGTGGTAGAAAAACAAATAATAAAAGGTCTACTGTTATGTACATATGTGAATAAATTACTGTGAATGGTGGTTATAAAAGTACTAGAGAACATAAATATAGCAGATGGTAATCTTACCTGTAACATACGTAATATAATGTAAAAGTACTAGAGAGCATAAATTATTATAGAGACTAACAACTTTAATACACTTTGCTTTGGGCCAAAACTACTAACATGTGAGGTGATATTGATATGGAAAATAAAAAAGTAATGAATCTTTGGTAGCAGGAACAGCACAGGTCTTCGAAGAACATGGCATGCTTGAGGAATATCAATGAGTTAAACAAAGCTGGAGCACAGGTGAGAAGTGGAGGAGTGAATATAAAGCTGTACTCTCAGCTGGGCTCAATTGTTAAGGGTCTTATATTCAATTTGCAGGATGCCAGTTGTTGAATAGTATCTCACTGGCAATGGGGAATAGATAGCACTGTAAAAAGCAGTTTTGCTTATTTAACACAATATTTTTTGACTTCTTACTCTGATTTACACAAATGTATTTACAAATAAACAAATATATACACACATACACGAATGCATTGGGATATACATTTTAGTCTTAAAAAAGGAGAGAAGGAATATGAGCAAGTACATAGTGGATCTATTATCCTGATGGTGTAAATAAGATCATAAGCAATTCAAAACTACTAAATGGATGGAGAGATTCCAGTCTCTAATCTGAAATTGCCCTCATAGCATAATAGGCTGTGTTTGAGAACTTAGAGCTAGCAGTGAAATAAAATTCCTTTCACTAATGCCTATTTCCAAAAGATTCTATACAAAATATGTAGAAGAGAGATACAAATGACTGGTAGGCTTGATACTACAACATAATAAATGTTTATTTAAAAAAATAACAGCAAATGTGTGTTTGTGTGTCTTTCTGGTACATTTTCCCACAATGGAACAGAAGATATTAGGATTAAATGATCCCTAAAATTTCATAAATGTACAATCCAAAGACTTGAAAAAAATGGCTGTTTCCATTGTTCTTTATAATAGGCACAGCACGGGTGGACTCAAAACCCTAACTCTGAAACTTCCATGGATATTGATACTTGATTTCTTCTTTTGTAGTGGTCTAAAGAGTCTTCATGAGAACACCAGCAAGTCATATACTTTACGTATTTATATTAATAAACTATACAAGTATTTGTGAAAACTAAGTAAAAAATAATACAGAGCAAGAACATTCTAAACAAAATCAATGTGGTTCAAATAAATTGAAGTGGTAAAGTAACACAAGATCAATTACATCACAGTTTCTATGTGACACTTTCATCATCTCAGTAATCACTCAGCACATGGAGGACAGAAGTTTCTATCTGGACAGGTGATAGGGTTGTTGAGGGATTTGACAACCCTATTGGAGTTCAGGTTTGTTGCCTTTATTCCGAATGTAGACTTTCATATGTTTTATCATGTATGACCTGGAAAAGAGCTGTTTAATTTAGATCCTTGTGCATGATTTTTCTCTCTAATTGAAACACTCTTTCCACAAGTTCTGTTCTCCTAACCCACACAAATATCCCTCTGTATTAGCTTGCCATCACAATAATGAAATACCAGAGACAATTAACTTATAAGAAAGAAAGTTTATTTTGGTTCACAGTTTTGGAGGCTTTAGTCAAAGACTGAGCAGATCTATTGCCTTGGTCTCTAGTGAGTATGTGGATGGAAGTGGGGAGTAAGTATATGGTGGAATAAACTGGTGGTCATTTTATGGAGAAGAAAAAAGGAGAAAAAACTACCTTGCTGGACTGTTCAAAGGATTATTATAGTTAGCACATGTAAAGAGCTTGGTAAGTATCAGGTGCCTGTGAATGTTAAAAATGCTATCAAATGCTTACTCGGAAGACTTATTAATGCCTAAGCTCATCAAGCTGAGGTATACTGATAAAATGTGGTAAGGAATGAGACCAAGTTCTAGAAAGGAAAAAAAAAGTAAAGATCTGTCATGTTTTCCAGGAAGCCCTTCAGTTCCCACCTTATCTTTGAAAAGCAGCTTGCTCATGGCCACACCTAGTTTTGGTGACTTCTCTTTCATTTCAGCTGCATACTCCTAAGAGGCCAACTGCCTGGTAATTAATCTCTGGAAACCAGATGCAAATTTCTGCAGCCTGCCCTCCTCCAATGCCACCTTCTGATTCTCCAGCTCCTCCTTCTTACCTCCTTCCATCTTGGCATTTAAAGACTGTGAGTTTGACTTTTGTCAATTGAATTTTTTTTTTTTTAAATCAGGAATTTAAAAAATCATGGGGGAGTTATGCAAAATGATTCATTGACATCAGGTGAGGTGGTGGGATGTGTATCCTGACCTTTGGGTTTCTAATCTTTGATTTTGTGAGCTTCCTGGTTTCTTTCTCTTTTTTTTGCTTTCGAGAGGATTTGGTTCCTGCAGATTGTAACTAAGGAACTTATTTTGGTGAGTCAGTGTGTTCTCTATATCCTCCTTTAACTCACTATTCACTGAAAATATTTATTGAGAACTTTCTGTGGACTAACAGAAAGAAGCAATATGTGATATTATTGAACAAAATCAAGAGGTGCTCAGGAAAAACACCTTCATATAGGGAGACTGGGCTTATGGGATCTGCCACTGAATTTATGGTGTTTATGAAAGTCAGAATCATGAGTCTGTTTTTTAGAAATAACTAGGTGCAGTAAGAAATCAAATGCGTGCTGGAAAGCTGGTGGGCAAGGCAAAACTTCTGCCAAAGGCTGTATTTCAGGAACCTGGCTAGCAAACACACCTGGCCAAGCAGTCTGCCAGGTTTAGTCTGACCTAATGGCAGCGCTGCCCTTCACTCTGATTGGGGAGTTTGGAGTTACAATCCACGTGATTGGCTAATGTTTAGAATTAGGTCAGGCAAAAGGGAAGGGCTACAATTGGATCCAATTAAGGCTGAATACTATATTCTGAAAATGGACCACCAGACTTGGTATTTCTCACACTATTTATCTACAGACACATCTGTGAAAAAGAGTCACTTTAAACGAGAAATTAAGTGTCTATTGTTTCATGTTTTAAAAAAGATTTTTTGAATGCAGTAAGCTTGTATTCTGGAACCACTGTACATGTAGGAAAAGCAAATCAGCAGGCATTCTCTAGTGCGATCTCTACTTAGGTTTGCATTTATATGGAGACTCTTCATCAAGTGGGCACTGGATTATTTTTATGGCCAGAGCTATTTTTTATTTACAGTAGTGTCTTCTTGACACAATGCATCAACCTCAGATCTTTCCTCTCACAAATACATTTCCAACTACCAAAAACAAACGAAAAACCCCAAGAAAAACCTGAGGGTAAATCTGCTTACTTGACATTGTTTGTTCTTAGCTCCCAGCATTAAAGATTAGTTCACTTAGGACTTACCCTGACATGGAATAATGGACACATTTATTAGGGTATTTTGTGGCCTTAAATTAACTGTTCAAGGCTTCTTGGTTCTTTGCCGGCGCTTTATTTTGCTTTTCTTTCACTTCAGAGAATCCATAAACTCTGCTCCTATGGAGACAACACCACTCTGTGACCAACACCTAAACAGTCCTACTTCTGAGGGCATCTGCTACCACTTTCTAGATTTGGATCCTAAACTACTTTCATGAATTACCTAGCTAGTTCAATAAAATGTCCTTTTAAGCAGTATTTCCTGATGCTGAATGTACATTATAAGCAGTATCTAAAGGATATTGTGGCTTGTGATGGCCACTTTAGTTTTCTTGTTCATTTAGGGCTTCCTTGTATTTTTTATATAAACCAGATTTCATTCATATTTAAATTTTGAAAGAAAGCCAATATACTCAATTATCAGCTCTGGTTCTCATAATGTCTAGGACTGGTTCTGATCACAGGGTGAAAATTATATGAGTGATTACTTTGATTATCATTTCTGTGTGGTAGGATTATCAATACATGTAAATTTGACTCATATTTTTATGTAAATCTTTAAAATTTTATGTGCATTTTTTTTTCAGTAAAAGAGATTTTAAATGTTTAAAAACATCGATGGGCTATACAGACCAATAGAAATATAAAGGATTTTGTCAATTTTAGTTCAAAAGGACTTTTTATTTCTCATTGGTGGTAAAAACCAAAGGCCTTAGAATTTAAAAATTGAAGAAAATAAACAGACAAAAAACAATAACTAAAGACATTGGTGTTCATTTATAGTTCAGGGATACTCTAAACTTCTGAATAATTCCTTAGCTTGAAGTATACCTTTTTCATTGTCTCATTTCCAGTTCTGTAACACAGTGTACCAGTTATACATATAAGTCAACATATCAATCTATTCTTTAGTATTTAGTTTTGTAGGTACTTAAAATATTATATTTTGTGAACTAGGAGAAGACAAATTCTTTATGTTGATGAACACATGTATAATAGGCTTTTTTAGTTTCAATTTTCAATGTGATAGGTTTATCATTAATAAAAGATGAATAAGAGCATCTTAGAAAATATATTTATTTTATCTTATTTACTATCATTGTAAGGTCCCTGCTTAGCATCTGGATGGCCATCTTAAGTGACAGCTTCCATTTAAAGAAAAATCTCTCTTTCCTGCCCAAGGACATTTCTGAGAAAGGCTTACCACTCCCTCATACCAACTCCACCCTTAACCAACAGTATTAGGACCCACCTGGCTCTAATCCCTGAGCCTGCCCCATAAAAGTTTCTAACCCCAAGTCTGTCTTCTCTCTGGGTCTATGGAGAGATATGCCTTTATTTGTCAGCTCTGACAAATAAACTCTGGTGTGTATCTCTGCTTGGTCTCTGTCTTTCATTTCTCACTCACCCATTTCTTTGTATTTCGCTTTCCTTTTTTTCAGTCATCTACACAAATGCAATATTGTCAAAATGCAATGCTTTTTTTTTTTTTGAGGGAAGGGAGTAAATTTGGAAAAGAAATAGAAAGGGTCATGTGAAAAGCAGAAATGTTCCTGAACAATTTATATCAGGTATAAATCAAACATCACAGATTTGATAAATAAAGAAGAGACTGTTCTAGCTTGAATATACCATGAATTAATATTTTAAAAGTCCATTTGGTAGATCTGTAACTAGAAAGGATTATGCATGAGTTGATCCTTTCTCAATCAAGAAAGAGCTCTAGTTATCTTTAATTTAAACTGAGCCTAAGTAACTAAATATATTTTTTCCTAAACAACAAACAAAAAATCATCACTGTGAAGGCATTCATTTTTAAGTAAATGTCAGCTGTTATTTGGTATGACTAGTAATTTTTAATAGTTAGAGGCAAGTGGATACGTAAATTCCTATCCTTAAGTCAAATGAAACTCAGACAAATCTGAGCAGTTAGCAAGATACTTTTTACTTGCAATGTTCGCAAGGGAATTGTGAATTGAATTCTAGCTTTCAGAATGAGGCCCTGTAGACAAAGGATATGATATTATATAAGGGCAAAAAGCAAACAAAAAGTACCAAGTTAGCTGTTTGTTAATTATTCTTATTGGTAGAAAAACTACATAAAGTGACCAATGTTTATTTAAACATTAAAAGAGGGGTGTGTGTTTGAAAAATTATTTTTGATAATTATTTCTAAAAGCCAATGAAATCAATAGAAAATCATAAATGAGAAAATAAATTCAATTTTATAGCCTATGCCTAATATTACTGATGTTAGATATTATATAAATTTTGGTTAACAACTTAAAGCATAACTTTCCCAAAAGATGGTTCCATTCCATTATAGTTGTGCCTGAAGATGCTTTCATTTCAGCATAATTGTAAATCTAAATCCTGGAATACACGGAAATTTGTATTTTAAAATTACACAAACCATTCTGACTAAAAAATGATTATTACTTTATACACAAATGCCAAGGACCAAATATATATTATTTCATTGTGTTTACACTATCATATGTCCTTACAAGTGGTTTGCAATTCTTTGTCACTGCATTGATCTTGCAAAATCTCATGGTTGTCACCTTTATTGTGACAGCTCCATGGGTTAGCTGAAACAAAGCAGAATGAAAGGTTATTATTCATTAATAACAGATAAATTGTCCTTGTTTCAGCAAGAGTTCAAGGAGAGGCAACAGGTTGAAAATTGATCTAAAAGGCAGTTTAAACTGTATGTTTAACACACACGTGTGTTACATAGGCTGGCATATCGACATAGATGAAATTAATGTTCACTCAGTCATCTGACATTCGAGCAACAAACATAGTCAATAATATTTTAGGTTATTTTATTTTTTTTAATAAAAAGAGGCAAGTGATATATGTTTAAATATGTTGCTATCACAATTAGTAATAAACATCTTCCAGAGCATGCCCTGAAGTGATTCTAAAAACATATCAAGCATCTACAACGTCTACACAATATCTAAAATTTATGTTAACTGCAGAAATAATTAAAAATATTTACCATGCTTCTTTTGTATGCTAAGAAGTACTCTAAGTGTCTACTGTGTATAAATTAACTAATCATATCAACATCCCTATGCTGAGTACCTGTGTACAGTTTACTATTATGATGTCACTGTGAACACTGCAGAGGGCAGTAAAATTAGATGCCTAAGATCACACAGCTAGACAGGTGAAGTCAGGGCTCAAAGTGGTTGGTTTATAACTGGCACTCTAGTTCCACTAATGCTGAGATATCATGGGATCTTTTAAATTCTTCATATGATTGTTACGTATCATTTAGTTTCTGTTATGCATATTCAAAAGTTGAAAAGTTGAATTTTTTGGAAAAAAAAATCAAATTCTTTGAAAAATAAAATTTTGTGTATGGCTCATGCTATATGGACTATTTGATTAATCAGAATACTCTTTAGTGATGCTGGAGCAGTCAAAGTCACCTCCCTCTATGATTTCTTCTATATTACTGTATGGTATTCACAGATGGGTAGAGGATCATCCCTACTTCTAGGAAAACAAGACACCAGAGCTCCAGTGCTGTACTGACAAGCCATCAGGCACTGTGCTACACATTTCACCCTAATTTATCTGCAAGCCCTCACCTCTAAAGAGAGGAGACTGGTTTTGTTGATGTATTAGGTCCTTTTATGCACCAAGGTTTTTGATTACTATAGAATGAACTTCATTATATTGTATGGAATCCAATGTATAGGTCAGTTGCAAAAAACAGATTATAGTACAATTAAATTCTTCTTGTAATTATAAGATGTTCAATATACATGACACTTACACCATTTATGTA